AGGAAGATAATTCTTTTTACTCCTTTCTTTTAAGAATTTGTTAAATTGTCTGAATTTAAGACCTTCAAAAGATAAAGCACTCCCTCTAAAAAACTGGAAAGTAGAGACTTCATGCAGCAAAGAACTTTCTCACAAAGGACTCTGAACACAGAATTTCCAACAAAATCACCTATCAATAAAATTATCTCATGGCAAAAAATTTTTATTGCAAGGTAACATGAAATATTCACCCTGAATGTACTTTTTAGCCTTGCAAAGTCCATAGGACAAACAATAGGGTCATGTTAAAGTAAACCAGAAAAGTAACATGACATTTGCCCTGTGGTCTATGGAAGACATACCAGGGAACTCATCTACACCATACAGATACAAATGCACACAGCCACCAAAATTGAACAAGGTAAAAATAACAAAGTACATATGATTAAAGAATTTTCAAGATGTGCTTAAAGTCAAAACAATTTTTTAAATAATGAAATTATATATATATATATTTTTTTTTTTACATCATTCTTCATTGTGTACTTTTTTCATCTCAGTTGTAATCCCTGTGGACTTCCTACCACTAATTCATCCATATGCCATCACCACAGTCCTGTGCTCATTTCCTGCCCCAGTTTTGATCCTATTCCCTTCTCCACCACTGTCTCTGGTTTATAGTTGTTCACTGATTTTTGTTTTTACTTTATTACAATTGCTTTTTTTCCCCCTTCCTTTCGTTCTCTGATCCCTTACACTCCTGCTATGAGTGAAACCATCCAGTATTTCTCTTTCTGGCTTATTTCACTAAGCATGATCCCATCCAGCTCCATTCATGTTTAAACAATGAAATTCTATCTGTTTTAGTGTTCTTTAGTCCTCTTTCTTGCCACACAAAAAAACAAAAAATTTTATGGGGGGGACTACTTTTTTTAAGATCCACTATTAAACTGACAATCCACTATTAAACTGACAAAGTGGTTCAAACATTTTCCCAGCTTTAGGGACTATGTCTTGAGACAATGATCAGAATCCAGGGCTAGGAAAACTGAAAACTTAGTTAATGGAAAGCGCAATTTCTTAAGTTTGAAAGATAAATGAAGTGCGCATGATAAATGCTTCTGATTTCATTACTAAAATTTCTTCAGCCAGAGTTTATCATAGGCGTATGTTTGCAAGTTGGCATGGATTAGACATTGTTCAAGAACCCTTTAATTACAGAAGGTGGTGGCAGCAAGTGATAGGAAAAAATCTCTACTTCTTCACTTTTCTGTCCACTTGTTGGAGAGAAGTAGTTGCTGCTACTATTTACTGATGCTTAGAGTGGAATTAAATGATCCCAGAGTCAAAGGTAATCACAACTACAACCCAAGAATAAATCTAGACGATTTATGAATTAAGTTGGCTCATGTTATCAAGTTATTATTTAGGTCAAATAGCATTTACAAAATGTTGGTGAAATGCTAGGACATAAGCTCCTCCAACATACTACATCCTACAATTAAACAAATAAAATAAAAGATGAAAAAGATGAACATGTTTCCATTTAGTCAGGTGGCACTAAGCTGTAAGCTTCCCACCAAAATAATGCTTAATTACCACTCTCAAACTCAACAGAAACTATATAATACAATGCACTGACATACCAAAAGAAAAATGTCCTTGAAGAATCTAACAGAATTACAAGTATTTCACTAAGATAAAAATTTAATATGCACTAAACCCTGTGTTTATAGACTATTTCACCTAAAAACTCCTATGAAATGGATTGTTATCTTCATTTTACAGACCTAGGTTCTAAGGGTTAGAGAAATAAAATAACCTGACAAAAGGTGAGTTTTCTTCAATGATAGACAGTCTTTGTATGGAATGATGTAATAATCAGCATTTCTGACTTAAGCAAACCTATAGAGCAAAAATTTAACCTTGCTTAAAAAATTTTTTTAATTTATTTATGCATACAAGAAATGATACGTGGGGAGTGAGGTGAGAGGAGTAAGAGGATTCACCAGAGACAGAATGCAGATCTACTGAAATACACTAAGAGAAGCAGCAGGTGAGGTAGGTGAGACAGAAGAGGTCTGCTGCATCATGTGGGTTAGTTCCTTGGCCATGGAGCAAAGTCATGCCATAGTGGCTGATGACAGCTAGACAGGGCCGAGACTTTAATCCCTGCACCACTAGGGAAGTGTTACTCTCTCTCTTTTTTTTTAATGCTTTTTTTTGTAAATACTTGAAAAATAACAACTATGAAATAGTCTACCCTCTTGGAAGGGAAACCATCAATCAAACCAGCTTAATGCATTACTCAGAAGTATTTAAAGGAGCCATTTCAAGCCTCGCGGAGCAGCAAAAGTATCACGCCCAGTAGAACAAGACTATTATCTTTCTATGCCCAGTAGTTGCACTGGGCTAATCTCTTATCATGGATCAGGGTTTTCAAGAAATCACATTTTCCAATTTATCACCAAAGACTGTCAGCACTCTTTTATAATATAAATACCACCACCTCCATTGTTCCTGTTCTTATTCAAGCCACTGTCATCTGTCAGTAGATTTAAAGAATATCCACCAGATCTCACTGCTCATCCCAATTCTGCTACCTGAGAATCGTTCTCCACAAAGCAGCCAAAAACATAAGTAAGTCAAATCATATCATTCTATTATAAAAACCCTTCAACAGCATCCCAATGCACTATAATTGAAGTCCAAATTCCCATTTCCTCTAAGATCTGGCTCCTACTAATATTTCTTCCATTCCTCTTGCTTACTTTCTAGCTCCAGCCAATCAAGCCATTTTGCTGTTCTTATTCCTTACTTGTTTATCAGTCTTCCATAGTAGAATAAAAACCCAGAATTATTAACAATGCTGTGATCACTAAAACCTAATATTGAAAAAAGTATATGGAATGATTCAAAGTTAGGACTTTTCAGTTCCAAATCAAATGCTATGTTTTTAGGAATAAAAATATTACCAAACAAACAAAACTCCCTAAGGGCAGGGACCTTTATTTTATTCTGTGTCTAACAGCTACTCAGTAACCATTTGTTGAATAAATAATGACACTACAGCTAGATTGGCTATTTCTCTTAACAGAAGGAGAACCAAGTCAACCAAAACTACTACCATCATACTCCTTTACTGCTAGGTAGCTCATCTCACGAGAAATATTCATCCTTGAACAGCTTACTTCTCCATATATAGAAAGAACAAAGGAGACTAAGAAAAAGGGGTCAAAATGGTACCAGACTAAGATATTTTCCATCAAATTAAGATACTCCTATTCCCCATATTTGTAATCAGTTTAAACTAACAGCCCCTGGATAGGCCATTACACCTGCAGTTAACGCTGTTCCCTACAAGCCACTATCACTGATGACTTTCTAGTAAGAGGGAGCCCCATCTTTGACCCTCATTCTCTAGATGGCTTATTTTATGATAATTAGATAAATCCACAGCAAGGGCAGTAAGATAACCAAACTACTCAATTAAAAACTCGACTACTTATTGCTCTGTATATTCCTTCTTCTTCTCTAATAATCTCAAATTTACAGCCAGACTTCTAGAACTTGTTTTTGGATTACTTGTATCTGACCATTTGTCTTACTTCTCTAAAATTCACATAAACAGACACTATCTGGTATTGTCTTTCTATTACTAACTTATTTCACTTAACACAGTCCTCTCCATTTCTACCCATGCTGTCATGAATGGCAAGAGTTCATATATATATAGTAGTAATCCATTTTATACTAATACCACACCTTCTTTATATTTTGTTATTGGTGTTTTCTATAATTTGGCTTTTGTGGGTAGTGCTGCATTAATAAAGGCATGCATATTAAAAAAACTTGACAACTTAAAAGATGAAAAATAGAATGAAATGAGAATGGTTCATGAGTAGGAAAATTATGATATGGTGTGTTGACATCTTTAAAAATTAACTGAGAGGAGGCCCTCCCTGATGATGCAGCGGGTTGGAGCACAGCACTGAGAAGCTAATGGTGTCTACTTCAGTGCAAGTTAGATCCCCGGCCCTGGAGGTGACCAACATGGCGCAGCAGACCTCTCCTGACCCACCGGCTGCTCCCCTCAGCAGTGTACTTCACTGACCTGGCTGTTCTGCTCCCCACTGTGTCTCTGGTGAATCCTCTCACTGTCCCTGAACCTTGGCCCGTACCTCATTCCATATGCGCAAATAAATAAAATCTTTAAAAAAAATTAACTGAGGCCCTCCCTGGTGGTGCAGCGGGTTAAAGCACTGCACTAAGAAGCTTAAGTCAATTCCACATGAGTTCGATCCCCGCCTGCCCCGGAGGAGATCCACATGGAGCGGCAGACCTCTCCTGACCCGCCCACTGCTCCCCTCAGCAGTGTACTTCGTCAATCTGCCTGTTCTGCTCCCGCTGTTCCTGGTGAATCCTCTCCACAAATCTGGCCTGTACCCCAGTTCTGTATGAATAAATAAACAAATCTTTAAAAAAAAAATAACTGAGAAGACAGGAACTGTATCTTCATCTAAGGAAGAAATATTACTTAGAAAAGAGAAAAAGGAAGTTAGAGGACAATCTTGTGGAGAGAGAAAAATAAGACCAGAGATAAGATATAGAATAAGGCCTCCTGGTGGCACTGGGGGTTAAGTTGCAGCATTATGAAGCTGTCCTCAGCAGTGCGAGTTTGATCCCCTAGCCGGCTAAGAACCTAACCCACAGGGCACAGCAGATCTCTCCTGTCATGCCCGCTATTCCCCTCAGCAGTTTATTTCAGTCAATGTACCTGTTCTGCTCCCCATTCTGTCTCTGGTAAATCCTCTCACCCCTTGCACTTCTGGCCTGTACCCCAGTTCTTGTATGCATAAATAAATAATTTTTTTTAATATATGGAATACGAAAGATCTCAGGATCATTGGAGAAAGAAACCATTAGTAATAATAAATCCACATTTCTCTAGAACTTACATTAATATGTAACATATATAATAGTAATCTTTCATGGGGCAAGGGGAATGAAGGTTTACATACCTTACAAATGTGCTGCAAGACCCACGGTGTGTATGGCAAAAATTCTACAAGATTCCTTGAATTTTCAGATGAAAGGCACTAAAAAGTTAAAAAAAAAAAATCAGCAATTATGTCTCCTCAATTTTTAAGGAGAAAAAAAAACACAGGCTATAAATGGACCTAACAAAATTCCATGAAGTAATTTATGAATTAAGACACAGAGGGCCCTCCTTGGTGGCACAACAGGTTAAAGCACAGCACAATGAAGCTATTCTCAGCCACTGCAGCACAAGTTCGATCCGGGGCCAGGGAGGTGACCCACATGGCGCAGCAGACCTCTCCTGTTTTGTCTACTACTCCCCTCAGCAGTGTACTTCGTCAGTCTGCCTGTTCTGTTCCCCACTCTTGTCTCTAGTGAATCCTCTCACCCCCACATTTTTGGCCTGTACATCAGTTCTTGTGTGCATAAATAAATATTTTTTTTAAAAAAAGTAAATAAAAATAAAAGCAAAAATCAAAATTAGATTAATCCTATATGAATTGTCTAACATTATAAAGAATTTCAAACATACAGTGAACATCCATATCCCTACCACTATACTATGAACATTTTTATGTCTTGCTTTATTAAATTACATTTAACATTGGTATTACATAGAAATTACAGGGTAAAATCAATGGCTTCAAAATAAAACAAGCTGAAGTCATTAAGTCAAAGAAATTAATATCTTATTAATTTGGTTAATACTTATTGCTTAATAATCTAATATTAATTTTCTTGACCCAGTGACTTCAACTTTATTTTACTTATTAATATTAGGAAATCCTTCTAATATTTTTGCCAGAAATTACCAGTATTAGTTTACTACTTAAAAATCAGAAAAGACATCTATTCCTACTTTCCATAAGCAATTCCAGTTGTTTAGTATCAGATCACATCATTCTCCTGCTTAAGATTTCTACCCCAGAACAAGTTGAAAGAACTTCCTAAAGTCCCTATGTGAGCTAATTTCTATAAAAACTCTAATTTCATTTTAGCTACCATTTTCACCATCATTCTACTTCACACTTACTTTATTGGCTGCTTATGCTCGGTCCTTTTCCTTTTACATGAATATAAAGATACTATTGAGTCCTCCCTTGTGGCACAAGGGGCCAAAGCACAGCACTGCAAATCTAGCAGCAGCCACTTCAAACGGGAGTTCGATCCCTGGCTAGGGAGATGACCCACACTGCACAGCAGACCTTTCCTGCCTCACTGTTGCTCCCCTCAGCAAAGCACTGTTCTGCTCCCCACTCTCTCTTACCCCTGCACCTCTGGCCTATACCCCAGTTCCGTATGCATAAATAAATAAATCTTTAAACAATATACATACTAAGATACTATCGTAAATATAATCAAAACATTTATCCAGCCTCTTCAAACAAAAAAAATCAGGCTCAAATTGGTACAAATTGGCTGTAATTTAACAGAGTTTATCTCCCATTTTGGTGATTATTAGGTATAAAAATGTATTCAGAGTCATCTAGAGGAAGTACCAATAAACTCAGACCAACACCCAGAATGAGCAGCTTTAATGTCTATCTGATTCTCAGTCACATGACTACCATAATTATGAGTATATAAGGCCTTCACTTAATACTACAGCACCACAGATTAAAAATGAGTCACTTGAAACAGAAACACTTGAAATAGGAACTTTACAATGATTAAATACTTTATAAAGCATCTTGGAAAATTATAATTTAGTTTTCTCACAAATACTTAACAGGGAACATGTCTCTGGAGAGCAGAGCATCAACAAATTTAAAATTTAGTTACGTTAATGTGTAGGTGCAGGCAAACTGAGATGCACTGGCCAGGTGCATAAAGGGATAAAACTAAGTGGTAATAGAAAAGGAAACAGGGACTTTTTAAAACTACAAATACATGGTTAATTTTCAAATCTAGTGATTATCTTTATCACTAGTAGCTGTAATCAAACCCAAGTCATAACCTATGGAAGCACATCAAGTCCAAATCAGTTCAGCCCTTCTTTTGAGTTTACATAAATCTGTCATCAAGGACAATGAAGAAGTCGCAAAGTAGCAACTCACCTCCTCCAGTCACTGCTTGGACTCCACCCCATGGACAGGAAACACCTGAAGATCTACCAGTTTTCACCCTCTTAAAAACTTACACCCCCACATGACCAGTATATACTTTTAAAAGAAATTAACTGACAGACAAAAAAAAGGAAATCAGGACTGTGAAAATACTCCAACAAAATCACCACCAAGCACACAAACATAAGTAACTATTTACTTGACATAACCAGTTTCTCCCCAGCCCACCTCAAAATCAATAGTCAAAAAAAACCACAGCAGACTGATAACATATTAGTTTAACCTAATTATGTTGATTTTGAAGCAGGGAGTCACACTCGGAAAGACAGATGTTAGTATCTCAAGAAGACCCCAATACCTAAAGCCAGGGGGATGCCAGGCAGCAACCGTGTAATCACTTATCTACATCAACTGCTGTTGGGTCATCCAGTTAGGGTAAGGACATAGCACTGCAAGCTGGCTGCAGCCTCTTTAGTCCCAGTTGGATCCCCTCTCCGCCCTCCCCCACCTCCCCAGGTGACCCAGATGGCATGGCAGACCTCTCCTGACCTGCCCACTGCTCCCCTCAGCAATGTACTTCATCTATCTGCCTGTTCTGCTGCCCTGTCTCTGGTGAAGCCTGTCCTCTTGCCAGTACCCCTGTACCTCTTGCCAGTACCCCAGTTCTGTACCTCTTGCCAGTACCCCAGTTCTGTATGAATAAATAATAAATCTTTTAAAAAAAAAAAAGCCACTTGGAAGTAAATACTATTAAAAAATAAATAAAATGTAAATAAAATAAAGTTGAATTCCTATTCTCTTCTTCCTTCCAATACAGATTTTTATGAGAACAGGTGGTAAATCTTAGACTTTGACTCAAACCAAGTACCATTTTATATGTATTATCTGGTAAGACCCCAAGAGCCATCAGTGCCCTACAAAAGCATTTAGTACTATCAAGGCAGTTTATCAAAAGAAAACACTTCAATAAGTTATCCTTTACAATTAAGAACTAGCCTTGTTATTTTCAGCCCAGTGTTACTTGTGCCAAATGCTCAGAACAGTATCTGTACCAATTTAACCACATCGAAGGTGACTATCGTGAACATGGTACAAACACATCATACATTTGGGTGTGTGACACTAAGTGGCTGAAAAATTCTTTCACCATACAACACTTCAAAGAATAGTTTGTACTTTTTCCTCTTCAGATTTGGCAAGGAAGAATATAATCTGATTACACACCTGCAAGAAACATTTACTTAAAAAGACTTTATTAGAAATAAAGAAGCAAGTCACCAAAAAGAGTAAAAATGTTAAATTCAACTATTAAAAGCCACAATTAAAACCAACTCTAAAGTAAAAAAGATGTCAATTTTCCACCATAAACTACTAGCTATAGTTTTTGACCAAATTAACTTAATGCAAAGTGTTACTCAGTGAAAGACCACTTGTAATTGATTTGAATCACTAATTTTGAATAGATGCTTTGGTGATTCCTAAACAAAATAATAACTTCACTATGCAAAACTGCAAGTACTCTATTTTGATGCAACATGGTTCAAATCATGAAAAATCCTTTCCAAATGATCAAATCCGTTCTTTCCCATACCGAAGCATCCTAATCCTAAAATTTCAACACTACTTTTTACTTACACAATCTCCAACACTATTAAAAAAAGAAAAGCTACCGAGGCATAACTGGACTTCACCCTGTATAAAACGGTGATTCACATTTCATATTAAATGTAAAAGGCAAAATGGAGTTGTAAAGAGTTTCTCTCCCATTTCAACTCCGACAGCCACGCGCGCTTCGCAGGGGCCCGGCTCCGAGCCCCCGCCCTGCCCGGCCCCGCCGAGCGAGAGGAAGCGCCGGGAACCGCGGGCGGGAGGCTTGGACTCCAACAGGCCTGGCCGGGCGGGGGAAGGGGCGCCGGAGGCCGCGGGCGCGCTTCCGGGGACTGTCCGGGCGGGGCCGCGGCTTCAGGGCGCCAGCACTCGAGCCGGAGTCACGGTCAGGGTCCAGAGTCCAGGGGTAACAGCCCAGAGCAGCAGGTGGGGCGCGGCCACAGCGGGGCCGCGGCCGGGTGGCCGGAAGAGTGCCGAGCGGGCGGGCCCCGGGCGCCGCGGCGCCAGGAAGGATCGTTCTCGCTTACCTCAGGCGACGACTTCGAGTCCGGCCTCTCCGAGCCGAGGACGCCTGTCCGCGAGTCGCAAGCTCGAAGACTGGGGCGGGTGGCTGAAGAGGCGGCAGTGGACTAAACGAGAGAACCGACGGAGGACGGCGGGCGGCGGGCGGGGAGCGAGGGCGAGGGCGGGCGGCAGCGGGAGGGCGGGGAGCGACGTGCGCGCACCCGTGTGCCCTGCGGGCTCGAGCCGGCCGCGGTCGCGTCCCCGCGCGCGCGCGCTCTTACAGCTCAGCCCGGATTGCTCCAGAGTGCGTCCACACCCTAAAAGCGAAGCGCTTAACCAATCATTACAGCCGCGTGAGGCATCACGGGAAATCCAGGACTATAAAAGGCCTGGTTGCTATTTTATACTCCACGAGTCACTCATCCTTTAAGTAGGTAGGGTGGGGTTGGTGCGCGTGCGCAGTTTCAACACTCCTCCCCAAACTGCCAACTCTTCGCGCAGGCTAGGTGGGCGTTTATTGCCTGGGTACGCGTGCGCACTAACGGACCTGGCCCCGGAAGACAGGACGCCTGCGCTGTGGAAACTACGCTGACAACCCCTCGGGTGGGGCGCGGGCCTGTCATGGCGGAGCCTTGGGCTGGGCAGTCCTTGCAGGCTCTACCCGCCACGGCGCTGGGAGCACTGGGTGCTCTGGGCAGCGAGTTCCTGCGGGAGTGGGAGGCACAGGACATGCGTGTGACCCTCTTCAAGCTGCTGCTGCTGTGGTTGGTGTTAAGTCTCCTGGGCATCCAGCTGGCGTGGGGGTTCTACGGGAGCACGGTGACCGGGCTGTATCACCGCCCAGGTGAGGCACCCCACCAATCTCCGTGAACCTGTCGCCCCCACCTCCACCAGACTGTACCACTGGGCTTCCCAATGCCCCCTTAGACTACCACTTGTCCCCTAAGATCCTCATCAGAACTTAATGCTATACTCTGACCCCATGCCAACATACCATTTCACTCCAGAAGCCCCACCAATTCACCCATCATATAGCTTTCTTTTAACCCCCACCAGACAACACTATACTCTTAGGGCTCCCACCAGACTCCACCAAACAATACCTATAACCTCTAACCTGACCCAGGCTAATGCCTGCTCAGATCCCCACCCCTAGTCTGCTGCTGCTCAGGATATGTTCCTGCCCCCAGGTCTGGGCGGCCAGAATGGATCCACACCTGATGGCTCCACGCATTTCCCTTCCTGGTGAGTAAATCTGTTCCTATCCCAACCCCATAGTTAACAGGCAGTGACCAGGTAGGGAATTTTTCAGAGTAAAAGTCCACTAGTATAGGCTTTTGCAGCAAGATCCAAGGTCTTCAAATAGTGCACTGTTCCACAGCCTTGTAGTGGGTGATAATGATCAGTTTCAGAGAGATGAAGCAGCAAGTTTGCCAAGATGAAATGGATTCCCTCCACTGCAAGTCCCTCAGCTGGAAAGGCAGGAGACTATCCTTAGTGCACTGACTAGCATCATTTGGGTCCACCTCACCTTTAAAGCAAACTACTAGGGCCTTCATTTAGCTCTAGGCCATCCTAAATCCTGAAAATAGCAGCAAATTAAATCTTTGTTCGCAAGGGGACCCAGACATTTATTCAGCATAGAAAACAAGGATATAGCCCAGAGGTTTGGGGGGGGGGGGGGAGGCGGTGAGAAGATTGACCAGAGATGGAGTGTGGAGCAAAAGAGGCAGACTTTCTAAAATACATTGCTAAGGGAAGCAGCAGGTGAGACAGCTCTACACCACATGTGGGTTAACTCCCTGGCTAGGGACAGAACTTAGGTCATAGCAGTGATAGCACAGATAGCACTGAGACTTAACTCCTAAGCAACCAGGGGTTGCTAGACACTTAAAAAGGGAAGGCAGCGGTGCAGATCCAAGTGCAGTTAGAGGTTTCTCCCGTGACAGTCTTGTTGAGGGCAAAGGCCAAGGGTTGGCAAAGTGTACCAGACAGAGAATGGGTAAAACAAGCTCCAGAGGCAAAAACAAGGGTGACATAATAGAAACACAGACAAGGCTCTGATGCTGGAGCTCAAACATGAAAGCATGGAGGACCCACAAAGCCCTATCCCAAGTCTCAGGAAGCTATTAAAGAATTCAGCAAGTCTGTATCTAATTTGTTTTTATAGCTACCTGATCTGTAGCAAGTAGACAGAGGAGCCCAACAGAGGGTATGAGGGCAATTAGCAGGTGCGCCAGTCTGCCACTGCTGAAGTTTATATTCAGTATGAGAACACCATTATAAGTCACTATAAAAGAAGAGGGGGTTGCCCACTGCTTGCTGTGGGAGCTCAGCAAAGAGGTCTAGATTATAGTGTGGCTTTACTTAGCCCAGCTCACTCCCCCAAGATAAGGCTAATGAGAATCCTTTCAGGGACTGGTGTGTAGGCAACGAAATAACCCCTTTCTCTTCTCATCACTTTTAGGGAAACAGCAGCAAACGAACCTCTCAAAACCCACAGAGAATAAGGAAAGGCAGCAGAGGGGTCTCCGGGGAAATCACCGGGTCTTCTGGCTCCTACACTGGGTCCTGCTGTTGCCCAGACCCCAGAGACGACTACAGGGGTGTCAGTTTGGGGGGCAAGGAGTACCTCAGTGCTTATAGGAATTTACCTGCACTGCTCTTGGCTGCCTCCCGCAGCTCCAGGTATTGGACAAGTAGAGTCTGCCTCTAACCTTTCTGAATGTCTTAAGAAGGCATGCACCTTCTCTCTCATGAGTCAATGACAAAGTCCCTGGGTTGGGAAGGCCAGTAGTCCATTTTCTGTCTTGCCTTTTTCCCCTCTTCTCCTGAGATGTGGTCCCATATAGATTTGTCCCTCTGAGAGGAAGCCTTGAAATTGACCAGCTCTGGAGTTTGTAAGGAATAGTCTGTTCTCCCCTGAGTATGAATTTCCTTCTTATTTTGTTTTATGGTGCCAAAACCTAGGACCAATCCCAGATTTCTTTGGTTTCACTTTATCAACTGAAAGATAGGAAAATGACCTTATACTCTGGCTGCTTAGCTTGCCATTCAAGTATAAGGCAAGGAAAAACAAGCACCCACCTTCATGACCCATCAAAAGTTCTCCAGATATAAACCAGGTTGTAGAAATTGTCTTCCACCATCATCATACTGATATTCCTCTCAGTGCTTCCTGAAGGGAAGCTGGGTGCCTGAAAGAGGCTGAGCCCCAGCAAGGACCTCTGTTTGAGCCCATGAGTTGTGGGTTTATATCCATCCTACAGGCCCCTGCCCTGTAGCATCACTTCTGTCTTGACCTGAACCACAGGCTCATCCTAAGAGCCCAAAAGCTCCTCGCCACTAGAACCATCTCAATCCCCAGGAACCCTTAACAGGGAACAGCCACAGGACAGGCCAGTCTGCCATTTCCACAGTGGGCCAGGGAAACATCCAAAGGTATGGGTGGCAAACATCAGTTCCTTTAAGCAGTGTGGCCTGGACCTGCCTCCTCTCCTTATGGTGGTACTTCTGCCTGCTTCTCCTGGGCCACCAGCTACCTCAGTATTGCACTGCCTGCATCCTCTGTTCGATGTCCCAATTCCACCTGGCAGACTTTGCCTACACTGTCTTTGTAGTAGAGACCTACTGGAAGTAAGACTTAACACTGAATTAATGTATATGTACCTGTTATATCTTCAGGTTGGCAGGATGATGGTTTTTGTAGCCCCAGACCCACCCACTGATAAACACCACGCAGAATTAGGGCTTTACATTTTATCCCATGCAAAACTGAGGGTATGGTTTATTAAACATGGAAGTGCACCAGTTGTGTGGTTATTCAGACAACTTAAGGATGTGTATGCACAGGGAAAACGAGAGGACAACCTGGGGGCTACTGTCCCCCCAGGAAACCTAGAATGCAGTGACCTGCAAAGGTGAAGAGGTGATGCCAGTTCCCTAGAAGGGTGGTAAGTGCCATAAAGGGCAATATCCCCACTAGTTCTTAAAAGACTTAATTCCTCTAAGGTCTCAGAGGCCAGGAAATTGGCACTCAAGGAACCCTGTGGACAAAAAATGATGAGGCTAGAGAGTATGGCAAGAAGGAAGCTCATTTAATGTACTTAAGGAATCAGTAGGGTTTAGGAATGGCCCAGGGTAACACAAGTCCAGAAAGAGGTCCAGCCTGCCCTATAACAATCCTGGGGGCTCAGAACAGGTGGTGGGCCTGGCATTGTCTGCTACTGAGCAACAGGCTGGACCAACTTGGAATGTGGAAGAGTCTGTACCCCCTCAGCAATCCCAGAGTTTACACATAGACATAATAGACATAGCAGTCCAAGGGACCAATCCTCTGTAGTCAGGAATCATTCCTGCCCAGGGAGAGGCAGCAGAATGGAAGAGGTGGCCAGTACTGCTCAGGTAGTAGCCCTTTGCATTGTGAGAAACCATGGTGAGGTAGGTTGGGGAGGCATTATTTTTCCCCAGAGATGAGCCTTTGCTCCACAGCCAGCAATTGGCAGAGTAAAAGAGTTGCCAGTAGTGGTGCTTCTTATAGCCCTCCAGCAGGTAACGCTGGTGAGGCTGGTGGGAGCCCAGGCTCAAACAGGACATTTGGTGAGCTGGCCCACTGCCCAGAACTGGGTTCTGAAGCTGGAGTAGTATGGCTGATGGAGTCATCCTGAAACATAACCAGAATCAGCCTCTACCCTAGCCACCACCTACCCAGGTGTGTTCTGCCTCAGCTTCCTGACTAAACCTTCACAGAATGTTCTCCTAGGCAAGGCCCCTGGAGGGGAAGGCTATGCTGTTAGGCTCCTCACTTGAGGGTGTAGTAGTTTGTGGGCACAAAGGGCATCTTGCTGACTGTAGCCACCTGCTGCTTCCGCCGCACCTCCACCAGCAGCTGAGTACCTGGACGACTGTACTCAGAGGGCACATACCCCATTGCCACATTCTTCTTCAGGCAGGGTGATGGGCAGCCACTGGTCACAGTACCTGTGCAGACAGAAGTCATTCATCAGTACCACCCTGCCAGCCCAGTGCCCCCACCCTCCTGAGGAAGGAACAAGGGCTGTCCAACTTCCCTGGTCCACCTACCAATCACAGTACCCTCCGTATTCAGGATGGAGCTGTGTGCCCGCACAGGAGCCCCCTCACACATTAACCCCACACGCCTCCGCAGCACCTTGCCCTTCAGCTGGGGGACAATGACTGTGGCTCCTGGGAAGTCCTTAGCAGCTCGGCGGCGTTTCCCTGGAGCATAAAACACCAGATTTAAGCCACAGTCCATAGTGGCCCATAGAGGAAGTCTTAGTTATAAAGTGACATCGAGCCAGCACTGACCTTCACTCAGCTCCTCTGTACCCCAAACTTCCCTTGCAATTCAGTCTGCCACCTACCCATCTCCTGGCCCCTCATCTTGGAGGCCACACTTCCCCCTCAGTTTGCTGAGGGTCCTTAGCTTTTAATGAGCAGAGCCTCTATGGAAGCTTCAGGGAATGAGGCTCAAGGAGTCTGAGTCACTTGCTCCAGGCTGACCAACCTTAGCAGCAACTAGAGGCTGGCTGGTCTCATGAAGGACCCCTCCAACCTTGAGTATCCCATTCCTGAGTGCTAGCCCAGCTCACCCAAAGTCCAACTGAGGCTGCCTTCTACTGGCGTGGTGTGTTCATCAATGTCACTGCCATACAGGCAGAGGCCTGCCTCTAGGCGCAAGCTGTCCCGGGCAGCCAGCCCTGCCAGCTTCACCTCTGGATTTTCCAGCAGCGCTGTTGCCAAATGGACTGCACCTGCTGCCGGCACCGAGATCTGCATGGGACACCAGAGTGCAGGTGTGGGTAGTTGCCCCCATGTCCAGTGCCCACTCTACCCTGCACCCACTTCTTAACACACCTCCACGCCATCCTCTCCTGTGTAGCCACAGCGGGTCACACGACAGCCAGACACGCCAAAAACCTCCATCACAGCGCTGGTCATGAAGGTCAATTTCCTCAAGTCGTCCACTACACCAGCCTGTAGAACTTGGGCTGCTGTGGGGCCTGAGCACGGGGAACCAGTGACCAAGTGTCCAGGACACAGTGCCCCTCAAAGCTGAACCACATCCCTCCCTCAGGGACTAGAATAAGTCCTGAACAAGTCTGCAAGTGGGAGAAGACACTCTGGCCCTCAGTCCATAGAGCTTTGTCGCAGGAGGAAAGAGGACACAATACCAAAGTTAAAAATTATGGCAGAAACATCACACCATCCACCCCTTCCTCTTGATGCAGCCTCTGTGCTAGGCAGTTGAGGAAACCAGAAAGGCAAAGATCAGCTCCGACCCAACTCTGACCCACTCACCTTGCAGAGCCAGCAGGGCATTATCTATCACTTCCAGGCCCACATCACTGCCCTTGTTCTGAAGCTCTCTGACCTTGTCCTGAAAGAAAAGGCAGAAACACCACATTGGCTTCTGGAACCACTTACTAAGCACCTCCCATGTGCCAGGTACTACAGAGCTGGGCCGATTAAGCTATTTCCCATCTTAGAGTCATATAAATACTAAATGATAGGGATGACCCAAGCCCAGGCCTGTCAACTCTCACATCAGGCTTCAGCACTCCGCCCTTGCTTAGAGGTCAAGGTCAGCTTTACCGCCCACCTCCCCCATTCCGCCCATCTAAACTTGATATGCTTCATGGACCTGCTCTGACCGACTACTCACTCAGAGAATCATTATCTGAGCTCCTTGTCCATACCAGGATACTGCTCTTTGACACAGAAAACAGAGTACGCATAACACAGAGGGACTGTACCTGCATAAGTGCCAAGTCCTTGTCCCGGCAGCCAGCATTGGACACCACATACAGGTACCCTTCAGAAGTGTTGGTCACAATCAAGTCATCTAAGATGCCTCCAGCCTCACTGGTAAACAGCGACAGTGTTCCCTGGTACCAAAATGGAACATCTTTGCCCCCAGGTCCAGGAGGCCAAGGCCCAGTGTGAGCCAGAAACACTCTTGTACTCACTCAGCCACCACAAACTAATGAACCTTAATGACAGAGCTGCAGGCATGTAAGGTGCAAGGCTGAGTCCAGTCCCAGGGTCTTAGATTCTTAGGCACTGACAAAGTTTTCACCTTTACCCACTCTGTAATCTGGTGGGGCCTCTGTAGTCTTTTCTGAAAGTCCCAGCTCACATTTAATACATGACATGCTGCTTCATCCCACCCAGACCTGCCGTGAGGCCCATGATAGAAACTCCAAAGTTCGGCTTGATGACCCCATGTGCTCCACAGCAATGGCCCCAAAATATTGTGCAGCCGGCCTCAGCAGTTACCTAGGGAACCCTGTTAAAATGAAGGTTCTAATTCAACAGATCTGGGGCAGAGCCTGAGAATGTACTCCTAACAAGATCATAGTGACAAGGAAGTGGTTTGGGGGCTTCACTTTCAAATGCCAATGAATTAGGCAGCCTGGAAGGTCACAGAACAGGACATAAACCTAGGTTCTGGCCTCCAAGAAGCCTATTGTGAGGATAGGAAGCTAGCCGCCTCACCTTAACCTCCACCTGACTAGTAGCTTGAAGGATGGCTGGGTGTCTGGACAGGTTTCTGGGACCCTATTCCTGGAGACTGTAAACACAGAAAATGTGATCCACCTTTGTGCCCAAACCCAAGGTAGGGATTCAGACAGCTTGCTGGCTTATGACTAAGAACACCCACTGAGAAGAAATAAAAGTAAAGAGACCCACCTGGTTTGGCCTTAGCTCTGCAATATCTCCAACCACTAGACTCTCCATCAGCTTCACTCGATCACAACCAAGTATCTTGGTCTAAGAAAGAGATCAGAAGCTTCCAGCAATCTGGAAGACCACTGGGCAAGGTGGCATCCTCCGTGCATAATTTAACCCACTAAAATATTTAAGCAGTCCTTTGGTTCTGCAGGTGGCGGAAGCCCCACCTTGTGACTCCGCCACAGGCACCTACACAGGAGGGGGCATACTGAGGGGGTTAGAGAACTTAAAGGGACCAGCACCTTCCTGAAGTGCCCCCTTTTCCAAACCTAGGACAGCAGATGAGACTGGATGGTGGTCCTGGAAAATCCAGGATATTTAAGCTCGCCACTAAGTGGAAGCAGCAGGAGAGGTTAGAGAGGATGCTCATGAGACTCTAAATTAATCTCCTGGGAGCACAGTCTGTGACCTGAGACCTCCAACTGTCCTGAGGGCTGTCCTTGGAATCCAGTTCCCAAGAAACAAATTCAAGGTTTGCACAGCTGTGAACAGGGAGAAAGCCCTGGCTCACCTGCAGCATGTGAGACACGTCAAAGAGCGAGCAATGCCGGCGTGTATGCAGGTGCGAGTCAACGTGGCTGTCCCGGTACTGCACAGGCAGACTCCAGCCTGCGAACGCCACCATCTTCCCGCCATGGGCCAGGTGGAAGTCATAGAGAGCTGTCCGGCGGAGCACATCCTGCAGGCGGCCAGGCTCAGTGCCACCAGGGCCCAGGCCCCAACCCCTTCCTCTCCCCCACCCCGTGATTGGCACCATGCCCCAGCACCCTCTATCCCACCTGTGAGCAACTGAACGGACGGGTCAGGGTCCCGGGAAGCGCCTGCAGAGGTAAGCCCAGACGGGCCACCATGCTCACAGCCTGCTGCATTGTTGCCCGCAACTGGTGCAGCCGGCACACAGAGGCCACAACTCTGCCAGGCACGCTGGGAGATGTAGTCCGGACCCTGCTTGGACACGTCTCTCTCGGGTGAGGGGTGGGGATCAGAAGAGGGGGTGGGCAGCCCCAAGGGCAGACAACCCCAAGGGCAGGCAGGGCTTGAGTACCGAGTGGCAAGTCTCCTAGGTGCAGGGAAAAGGGAAAACAGCCCCAGGCACTTCTAGCAGATCAAGGCAGATTGAGCAGCCAGTTAGATGGCTCTGAATAAGCTGGGGGCTAGACCTCCCGCAGCTGACTGCCCAGCCTCCAAAGGATCAAAGTTCTGCAAAGGGCTGAAAGGCCTGAATCACCCTTTCAGGACAAGTGGAGTATAAAGTCAAATGGAGGGAGGGGGAGAAGGGAGATTCCACTGGAGGGAGGAGCCAGCCTGGCAGCATCGCACCACAGGAACCTGGGCTCTTGTGAGGGTCTCCAGCTCTCCCACTGGGCAGACACAGGCAGCCAGCACAATCATGCATTCCACAAGTATTTATTGATCTTGCTGCACACTGGGCCCTATGCTGAGGACACAGCTGAATGAAGTCCAGTCCCTGCCATCCCAGGGACCTCCCGCTCGCACACTGAGGGCCCCTGCTCCCTGAGCACTGGACTAGTCATTATTCCCTCTGCAAAAGCTGAATGAGGCTAAGTAAATGACCAGGCAGAGGCAGGCAGTGATACTCATTGGTGACAGAAAAGGGTGCCCAAAAGGTAGCTGCCCTTCCTCCAGGCCTTGTGTGTTCAGTCACACAATGTGCAATTGTCCGGGTCCAATACATGTTACAGTACTGCTTCATAATAGCTCCTAGGAACAAAGCCAGCAAAACCCTGAGAGAAGCAGGATTTTCTTGTAAGAAAGAATAATCTGCCTTATTCAGTGGCTGGTGTGAGGTTGTAGAGAAACTCAGTCTTTTAAAAGATACCAATGAGACCCTTCATCTGGACCCCCTCAGCCTCCCCTCCCCCACCCCCAAAAGTTCATCCCTCTTCGCTCTAAGCATGACTCTTAGAAGCAGGCAATTAGGAGAAAGGACAGTATGTGCTTTGGGCTGTGTCATATGACAGACAGGTCTCTGGCCTCAGTCTTGCCAGAGGCAACTGCCAACAAGTGGGCTATCTGAAAAGTCATCTGGGAAGCCAGTTCAGGATTCTGTCACCCAAATCCCTAGCTTTGATCCCTACACATGCAGCAGAAGTTTAGATAGGAATTTTGTGTGGGTATCACATGAAGGGAAAGAAGGAAGAAATGAGGTTTCTTTTCTCTTTCAAGCTTCCAAACTCCCAGAGTGGCATGGCTACTGCAGCCTCCCAATGGTAGGTAGACCAAGCAGGTGCTAACCGGTCACCCAGCCCGCTGCACTTAGGATGAGGGGAACAAGCAGAAGACAGGGTGTGCATGTTGGTAGGAGGGGCAGAGGACACGTGAAAATTCTTGGTAAGCAGACTGGAGGGTTTTTAGGATAGGAGGAAGAGATGAACTGTAGTTCAGTGAGGTCAAAGTGTACTCCCACTGGGAATTCATGCTGAAGTAAAACAGTAAGCCCCCAAGAATCTTGAATCTGTGATATGGCCCAGACAGAATGGGCATGCAGGCAACACTTGGAATCCCCAGGGAAAGCACTTCATCCTCTGGTGGCCCAAACCCGTCCTGGGTGGGCATGGAAGGCCAACATCTTGGCTAAGAGCCACAGCTCAAGTGTAGGAGAGCAAGTTCAAGTCGTAACAGCCATCCACCTGCAACATAAAAGAGCATCAGATCTGACCCGCAAAGGACAAATTAAGCCAAACGGAAGGAAGTAATCACTCACATCAAAGCGGCCGATCCTTGTGGAGGTGTGATTGGCGTGGATCATCTCTGTCAGCGCCCACATCTGCTGCACCTCGGAGGACACCCTGCTGGGGTCTGGGAGACCCTGCTCCAGAAGGAGGGGTCAGTGGCCATGGGTCTTGCCCCAGCAGTGACCTTAAAGCTCAAGATAGGCCACGTTGGGCTATGGGGCCCTCCAGCTGAGACCAGTAACATTCGCAGGTGACTTGTTAAACATGAGGTTTGGGCATGATGTGCAGTGGGTGGGGCCCAGCCCCACACAAAGATGCTTTAACTCTCATGGGGCATCCAGGAAAAAGTTGGCAAAGAGTGAACCAAGGGCCCTGGGTCCAACCCAATCCATGCAGAAAGGGTCCTGCTAGACACCATAGCTATTTACACATAGTTCTGACCCAGGGTGAGGGGCTTACCTCCAAGAGGGGAGCAGGCTGCTCAAAAGGTACCGGGTGGGAGAGCCACTTAGGGAAGGTCATGGAGGGGCTCTGCAAAGCAAAGGCAAAGGAAGAGTGCAAGAGTCCTGTGACCAAATTCCAAGCTCGTGAGAGCTGAGAGAAGGGCCTCAAACACTGGGAAAACCCTGCTCAGGAATCCACAGAAGCCCAAGGGGCAATAAGATCACCTAAATCACACAAGGAAAGGAGTATCTCCTGGTATCTGAAGGCCCCAGCACTGAAAGAAGTGGATGACCCTAAAGGTCAGAAGAGAAGAGATATGGCCTCACCTCTTATCATGAGCTTCCAGCACTCCCATCTAGCTCACTCCAAAAAGGTATCCTTCTGAGTCTCACCATAGTTATCAGTCCACTGCCATCCCCACCCCAGCCTCTCCTAGCCATAACTGGGAAAGAGCCAATCAATGGTTCTGAGCTAGTCACTTACCTTTGGTCCTTGTTGGTAGATCTGAAGCTCCTCCACTGTGAAAGACAGCCACAATGGTGATGGTTGTCTCAGAATCAGGCGTAGCTCCAGTACTTTGGCCATGTCACATAGCATCTAACATACATACACACACACACACACAAAAGGACCAAGTGAGCCCCGGCTCACTGACCAGAAGCCTCCAACCAGCAACAAGCCAAGAAGCTACCTCCCCAGGTCTTTCAGAAGGAAAGAACAGTATTCCCTCCAAGGTACTTGTCAAAGGGCCAGAGACCAGGCCATTCTTGCCCCTCCTCTTCCCTCCTGGTGTCCTGGCTCAATCTCTTCTATGAGACTACATCTGGGTTTCGCTGACTATGCTGAGTCCCAGCTGACCTGGTGTTTGAACAGCGATACATACTCCTGGGCTCCCTCCTCACTGTGTGGGTCAGGCATCAGACAATAGTCCCGTAGACAGGTCACCCACTTGGCTGGTGTTTGTGTCGAGGTATGCTGGCGAACACGGATGCTCAGAAAGGCTGTGTAGTAATTCTTAAACATGATCTCCTGCAACTAGAACACACACAACTACCATGACAAATCAGGCCCAGGGCCAGGCCCTGAGAGGTTCAAAGGCACCATTTCCTCCTCCCCTTAAAAATGGTCTCTTCTACCAACACAATAATTTCAACAGCCATCCACCAGAGCCAAGAAAAGTTTTTGCTTTCCTAGAAGAGCTCACAGTCTAAATGAGTAGATTATACAAACAAGACACAACTACAGAACTTGCTACACGTCCAAGATGCCTCCTAACTCTCTGGAGGCAGAAAATATACAGATGAGGCTTGAAAGAGGAAGAGTTCACCCAGTGGCTCAGGAAAGTTAGCAAATGTAAAAGCTGAATTTACACAGGCATACTGAAGAATGAGATGGCTTGGTAGACCCCTACTACAGCACGTGAATAGGTATACCCATAGTAGTTTTCATCTCTGGACACTTACCAGAATCAACCAAGGAAGGTATTTTTTAAGCTATATGTGTACAAGCTCCACCCCAGGCCTACTGAATCAGGATTTCCAGAGTTGGGCCCTTTAAATAAGTTTCCAAGCTTAAAACAAGGATCAGCTTTGGGAGAAAGCACACATCACAAGACAAAGTGCAAGAAGATGAATGGCAGGCAGGACAGACAGAGTGGCCCTGGCCCTGAAAGTGACACTTAGCAGACAGACTTTGTTCTCTTTCTAGTGTTCTTGCAGTGTCCAGTTATTCTGCGAGCTGGTGTAGAGGGCAACTTGAGCTTGGAAACTGGAGCCTTTGGAAGACCTGATGAAGGATAACTTGAACCTAACCTCCAACAGGGACTACAGAAATGGACAAGAGGCAGATTTGGGGCTAACTACAAGTCTAATGATTCCCAGTCAGTGGCTAGAAACTACTGATGTCTCATCTCTATCGCAACTATACCAGCACCTGGTCTAGAATCGGGGCAGGAAGCTGTGTATTAAATGAAGGAATAAATTGCTACCTGATTATCAAGGACAAGCATGTGGCACATGACAGTCTTTTAGTGAAAGATTAAATACGTAGAGACACGCCCAAGTCACAGGTCAGCCCCGCCCAGGAGCCCAGGAGCCCCGTCGCGCCCACGGGGCTTGCTCACCTCGAAAGGCGCGACGCTGGGGAAGGTGACATCGATGACCAGCACGCCAGGCCGGCCTTGGGAGGTCCGTACGTCGCCCACCTGCAGGGCCACGGTACCTTTCACATGGCATGGCACCGAGACGCGGGACATGATGCCAGCGGCCGCAAGCACAACCGCCGCTCCCGGGCTAGGACCACTGGTCCTTTCCGGCGTCCCAGCCGAACCCCAACAACTACAACTCCCGGCAGTCCTCGCGCTACACAGCCCAGCCAATTACCGATGCTCAGGCTGGGTCAGACGTCGGAAGTTCCTAAGGAAGTGTTCCTATAGCCAATCACCTCACGGGCCTTCGCAGTCCCTCCCGGAAACGGAGGTGACAATCTGTTTCTAAGCGGCCCTGAACATTCTTTGCTGGTCAAGTCGCGTTCTGTTAACTTCTGCCGGGTGTGGTCGTCTATTGAAATATGTAAAACCTGGAGTGCAAATGGACATAGCGCCTGACCAACATAAATTGCAAAAATAAATAGTAACCCCATTTTTTCGATAAGCAAAAATGTGAACAGATAATTCACAAAAGAAGATAGCCAAAAAGCCCATGAGAAGATGCTGAATGTGATTATTCATTAAGGAAATACAAATTAGAACGCCTATACGCCCACTGAAGACTAAAATTAAAGACTGGCCAAGATATGGAGTGACTGGGCTACTTTGAAAAACAGTTTGGCATTTCTTTAAAAAAATGCAATCTACACGAACGTAAAAAGTATCCAGCCGTTGCATTCTTCACACTCTGCTCAAGAGAAATGAAAGCACACTTGCGCACAAGGGCTTTATTCATTATAACCAAAAAATGGAAATAATTATAATGTTCAACATATGCACAGATGATCAGATTGGCTAACTTGTGTATCCATACAATGGAAATATGAAAAGAAATTAAGAAATTTAACAATAGGGATACAATAAATTCAGCATCCACAAAGGTAAAGTTTACTATGCCTGGCTTCTAACTCAAAATTAACAATTATGCAAAGAAGCAGGAAAAAATGACCTATAATGAAGAGAAAAATCACATAATAGAAATAGGTCCAGAAATAAAAACAGACATGGATAATAAATTTAGTGAATAAGAACATTAAAACTTGAACAAAATATCATAATATTCCATATGTTCAAGAAAGTAAAAATACTGAGTATATCAGATAGATAGGAATAGATGGATAATATACAGGACTGGTTCATGAGGTCACAGAGGTTAAGAATTCCCAAGATTTAGGGTCTCCCTGATGGCACAAGCATTTAAAGCACAGCACTATGAAGCTGTCCACAGCCACTGCAGCACAAGTTTAATCCCCTGCCAGAGAGCTGACCCACATGGTATGGCAGACCTCTCTTGTCTTAGCCGCAGCATCCCTCAGCAGTGTGTTTCAATCAGTCTGCCTATTCTGTTCCCTTCTCTGTCTCTGGTGAATCCTCTCTCTCTCACACACATTCCCACCTCTGGCCTGTATCCTAGTTCTTGTGTGCATAAATAAATAAATCTTTAAAAAAATTCCCAAGAATTATATTTCAGCCATGAAGGGCTGAGAAAGGGGAAACTTGATGGTGTAAATTCTGGTCCAAAAATGGCAGGCCTCAAGACCCAAGAAAGTTAATGTTTAGTCTAAGTACTAAAATACCAAGTGCCAGCTCAAGTCAGGCAGGAGGAGTTTATTTTGTTTTACTCAGCTTTTTTTGTTTTATTCAAGACTTCATGTGACTGGATAAAGCCCATCAATATTGGAGAGGACAAATGCTTTATCCAACCTGTTATATCACCCAGTGCTTACAGATACATTTCCAGAGTAACAATTGGCTAATTAAATTTCTAGATATCTTGTGATCCAGTCAAGTCAACCTACAAAATTAATCACCACCATATGTTTTTAAATTTCTACCTATTTGTGTTTGTTGCAACAGACTGGGGCAACTGAGCTTTGCACCCTGGGGCCTCAGGACAGCTGGCTAATTGAAAGGTGATACTCCACCCCCTGACTTCTGGCACCACCCAAGGTAGAGGAGAGGACACCCACAAGTGTCAAGGTCCAAACCCCACTCTTGAGCAAGGAGGCTGCTGGAAAGTGAGCAGAGCCAAGCATTTTGACACGTATTAAAAAAGGTGCATTGGATATGAGCCCTCTTTCCTTTTTTTCAGAGAGAAAAAAAACCTTCTGCTGTTGCCAGGTGGGTAACCACCCATCTGGGAACAGGTCTTCATCCTCCCCTCCCGTGGGTTGGGGCAAGGGTAAGGGAGAATTCCCTACCTCAGCAGCCACTGGTCTCTGCCACATTTGCCAGTTGCTGTAGCTGCCAGTCTACTTCACTCCATTGATCAATAACTGAAACTTCTCCCTCTATCCCGTTGGTTAGAATAAATTGTTATCTTAGATTTCTTTATTTATGCATACAAGCCAAAGCCATGAGGGGAGGTGTGTGAGAGGATTCATCAGAGACAGGGTGGGGAGCAGAACAATCAGATCGATGAAGTACACTGCTGAGGGGAGCAGTGGGCGGGACAGGAGAGGTCTGTCACGCCATGTGGGTCACTTGCCTGGTCAGGATGGAACTCAAACTGCAGTGGCTGCAGATAACTTTATAGAGAGTGCTGCACTTTAACCTGTTGCGCCACCAGGGAGGGCCCAGAATAACTTTTGTTTTTTTTCTTTCTTTTATGCTTTACTAAAGGCCCTTCTGTTTGCATACATTGTAGTAGGTGACTGGACTCAGAACCAGTTTGAGGTTTTTAAGCACATGATAGTTTTTTAGATCCTTGCTCAGTAACTGCCATTTTCAGTTTTCCTTCTTTTGTTCATTTCCAGTTTTATTCTATTGTGATCAGAAAAGACAATTTGGGGGACTCCCTAGTGTAGGTAGGATAAGGAGATTCACCATAGATATAGTGGGGAGCAGAACAGGCAATGCACTGCTGAGGGGAGCACCGGGCTAGACAGGAGAGGTCTGCTGTGCCATGTTGGTCAGCTCCCTGGCCAGGGATCAATTCCTGTTACAGTGGCTGGGGAATAGCTTCATAGTACTGAGACTTAACCCCATGAGCCACCAAGGCCCTGTGTTGTTGCTTTTAAATAAACAAGTAGTTTAATTTTTTTTAATTTACTTGAATTAAAAAGTTGTTTTAATATGTTGTAAACATCCGTAAATATAACTCAGATAAATAAAATCTCTTTTTTGAGATTTTAAAAATGTAACATAGGGGCCCTCCCTGGTGGCGCAGCGGGTTAAAGCACTGCACAAAGAAGCTTAAGCCACTTCCGCATGAGTTCGATCCCCGCCTGCCCCCGGAGGAGACCACATGGCGCGGCAGACCTCTCCTGACCCGCCCGCTGCTCCCCTCAGCAGTATACCTCAGCGATCTGCCTGTTCTGCTCCCCACTCTCTCTGGTGAATCCTCTCACCCTCCGCATCTCTGGCCTGTACCCCAGTTCTGTATGAATAAATAAATAAATCTTTAAAAAAAAATGTAACATAGTTCTGAGACTAAAAATTTTGAGACCCACTAGTCTAGGACTTATTTCTGGGAGTCAAATTACCAGATCACAAATGAGAGAATGCATAACTTTAAGTTTAATAAAAAGTGCCAAACTTCTTCTACAATGGCCCAACAACTGTCCATTCATTCAAAAATATTCACCAGGGCCCTCTCTGGTAATATAAGGGTTAAAGGGCAGCAACTATGAACCTATCTGCAGACACTACAGCATGGGTTTGATCCCAGGCCAGGGAAGTGATCCACGTGGCACAGCAGACCTGCCCACTGTTCCCCTCAGCAGTGTGTTTCAGTCAGTCTACCTGTTCTGTTTCCCACTCTGTCTCTGATGAAGACTCTTATTCCCTCACCTCCGAGGCTCTGGCCCAGTTCTTGTATACATAAATAAATAAATCTTAAAAACAAAACAAAACAAAAATACCACTGTAACAAGGAAAGGAAATACTTATTTTCAGAGTCAAGGTTAAGAGTTAACCAGAGCCCTCCCTGGTGGCACACCTGGTTAAAACACAGCACTACAAAGCTAGTAGCAGCCACTTCAACACAAGATCCATCCCCAGCCAGGGAGCTGACCCACATGCCACAGCAGACCTCTACTGTCTCCCCTGCTGCTCCCCTCAGGAGTGTACTTCATCAGTCTGCCTGTTCTGCTCCCCACTGTGTCTCTGGTGAATCCACAGCGCCCTTGTACCTCTGGCCTGTACCCCAGTTTTGTATGCATAGATAAATAAATCTTTTTTTTTTAAAAAAGAGTTAACCTGGCCCTCCCTGGTGGCACAGCGGGTTAAAGCACTGCACTAAGAAGCTTAAGCCACTTCCGCATGAGTTCGATGCCCGCCTGCCTGGGGGAGATCCACATGGTGAGGCAGACCTCTCCTGGCCCGCCCGCTGCTCCCCTCAGCAGTGTACTTCATCGATCTGCCTGTTCTACACCCCACTCTGTCCCTGGTGAATCCTCTCACCATCCCCATCTCTGACCTGTACCCCAGTTCTGTATGAATAAATAATCTTTAAAAAAAAAAAAAAGAGTTAACCAGGGAAATGCAGGTGGCTTGGTAGAAAGAATGTCCCAATCAGCTGTTTTTTTCCCTGCCCACCAACCCCAGGTTGGATTCAACTTGTGTACTTTTGGACAGAGGAGCTATTCTCAGTAGAAAAGAAAAAAAAAATCACATTAAGCACATATCAAAATACCAAGTCATTTGTTTTGCTAGAGAAATTATAATTTTCTGACTCTGATGTCCTAACAGAATAAAAAAAAGCATACTTTAATTCAGAGAACAGTTATCTCTGTGGCAAATGTCATCTGTGAGAAAAGCAAGACTATAAGATGAAAAAATCTATTACAGGGAATGTCTTTGGACGCGTGGACTTGTCTCTTCGAGGTGGCTGCCGGTCTGCTGCATTTTGGCAGGCAGAGCTGCAATGTTTTCCACAGCTGATCTTTTTGATACTTCTTTGTTATGGTGCTATCTTATAGTTGACTCAAAATCTCTACAGTTTATGTTTTCTCTCCGTGTATTCAAGTTTTGCTGATTTTCTTCATACCTCTGGTCCTCCTCCCCTGATTCTTTGCTGATACTCCTTCCTCCCCCGCTTCCACCACACTGGCCTCCACACTGTCCTAGGGCTCATGTTCTCATGTTCTCATCTCCACCTTTTTGTTCACTTTCTC